TTCTTTCTCTTTGACATAAGGAAGATTAAACGGATGGTTTATACCATATTATAGGTGACACTTTCTGTCATGTGTCCAAGGACTTTCCCCAAAGCAATTGAAAATAATTTTAATGTGAGCTAATATATATATATTGCTCTGCATGTAGTGCTTTGATAGCGATTCTTTGAGGTGTTCCCTGCAGGAAATGTCCTGTGACTGATATTAATATTGATTGATTGTTTTTCCTGATAAAATTTTTTTTAAATAATTACTTTTTTTCATGACAAATAACTACATAGCAGAATTTTTAGAATCACAACAAGATTGATACAATTTATGTTTTGTTAATAAGGCATGGACACCAGCAGCTATTAATGTATTATGGTCAGAACCAGTTTTCAAAACACCTGATTCTATTATACTACTTCCTGCATGTGGTCAAACAATCAAAACAAGTATGTTTTCATAATGTGTAACAAGATTTTTAAAAATTTGTTGAAACATGAATTTAATTATAATTCACTGGAATGAAGTTCATCAAAACAAAGATTTTTTAAAAACTGAATTTGAACTGTTTGGGGCTTTACTAATTTTATTAATGTTGATTACCAAAAAATTTCAGTTTGACTAAATTTTGATTGGTAAATTTATAAGGGCAGATTAGTTAATCTAATCTTAAATCAAATTTTAATTCTGAGGATGTTTGAATTTGTTATAAAAAACATGGATCAGAATTTTGTCAGTTATTACTATTATTATATATGGGACATGCTGTAACAAAACGAACATAGAATTATCGGAATCAAAATATTGACATCACAAATTAGCAGCATCTTATATTTATCATTTTACCAATTTATTTATTTTAACCTGCATACAGAGAAAAAACAAAAAAACATATTGTCAAGTAGTAGTAATAGTAAATACAACAGTAATGAATATGGTAATGGTAATTTTGAAGAAATTAAAAGGCAATTGGAAAAAAGAATTTGTGATTTAGAAAATTCATTAAAATCAACAAAAAATGAACATGATAGATTAAATGAAAAATCAACACAGATTCAAATGGAATATTTAGAAGCAGTTCACAATAAAGATCAATTGATATAGGAGAAACATATAGCTGAAAGAAAAATTCAATCTCTAGAAATAAAACTTGGAGATATAAGTATATAATCTTGTCTTCAATATTATTATTATTACTGAAAATTGGAAAATTATTGTTAACATCAATGCTAATTACTAATCATATTATTACAGTTAGGTATTACCTAGGGGTATGGGGGGGGGGGGGACAACTCAAAGTTACACATATAGATATTTGCCGATCTTCCAATTCCATTTTGGGGGAATTTGAAAATCTACATGACCAATAAAAAGTTGTGGAACTAAGTGACTTGCATCATATAAATACCCGAGACACAATAAGATCTGATCCATCTACAATTTGATTTCAATAATATCAATATTTATAAAAACAATAAAAAATACAATACAACAAAAAATTGTGCATGTACCTTTCACCATCAATAAACAACATCTTGTCTTCTTTAGAGCAAGCCATATTGAACAAAATTGTTTTTTCAAAAAAAAAAAAAATTCAATTGCATCAACAACAATAACAATAGAGGCTTCTTTTTGTGTGTATGCATTGATCAAATAATTATATATATTTTTTTTTTTCAAAAATGTCTGTCCTCTGAAAAAAATTTGAAAAAAAAGAAAGATCAAAAACCAATTAGCAGGAGCCAACAAGTAAGTGTTTATCATTAAATTGTGGTTGTTATTGCCGCATCACAACTTGTTGTCACTCTAGTTTGTTAAAAAGAATGGAGTTGATGAATATTACAATGACTTCAAAGATTTCTTCACAAATAATGAACCTGAGGAAGACCTACATGAATGTATACAACAATTAGAAAGAGAACTTATGGGAATGAAAAATTGTTTATCACACTTTAAAAAAAAATTGGCACAAGAAATAAGCATAAATGAAACATTACTTGAGGAGAATGAAGAACTCAAGGAACAAACATTTAAATGTAAGATTTGTCTAGAACACACTGTTTCTCACCATGTCACCATTTTGTGACATGTGAAACATGTGGATATAAAGTGAAGAATTGTATAGTATGTCAAAAGGAAATAGAATCATATGTAAGGATTTATTTTTAAATTAATATATTTTTAATTTACTTGGATGATTATCATATTAATAATTTTGAATGTTCATTTTATAATTAAGATATAACCAATAACAGAGATTTTAATTCAAGCATACAATTTGATGAATTATTAGCAATGAAAAGGGAAGTTATTGAAAAATTGCAAAGATTTAAAGAAAAAAATTATAATATTTTGAAAATTTTTTTAAATAATATACAGTGAACCCTCTATAAGTGCACCCCCCTCGGGAACATAGTGCTATTTCTTGTGAGTGTGCATTTATGGAGGGTGTGCATTTATGGAGGGTATACATAGTGCATACATTTAGGGAGGGTGCATTTAGGGAGGGTTCACTGTATGTCAAGCAATGCCTCAATATTATAAAAATGAAACTGAACATGGAGATATGTTTAAACTTTATCTTTCCCATATTATTCAGAAGCCAATACAACCAGTAACTTTGAAGAAAAAATCATCAACAACAAAAGGAATTTGTCCAACAACTGATGGAGTCATACCTTTTGTGTTGAATATTGGTGAAGCAGAACTTGCTTGGTTGTTGCACATATAAATTAAGAATGAATTAATGTCCATGAATGATCCACACTTCCAAGCTTACATTTATGTTACAAGGCATTGTTTAGAACTTATTGATGCTGAAAAAGAGTTGCAAGATTATGGATTGCCAACACTATTGCTTTCTCTGGCAGGCCCACATTTATGGGTTTTTGTATTCATTCAACTGGATGGAGAATTTGTCTTTCAACCACTTAAGTATCTGACATTAGTAGCATCCAATCAATTTACAGAGTATCAGTCTATCTTCTGCTTTTTTGGGGCTCTTAAACAGACAGTCAATGCATTGGAAGAATTTTACAAAGAAGTTCTGAATAAGTCTCATCTAACACTGAACTACCCATATCCACAACAATACATCAATGAAAATCATAAGATTGTGAAATTTAATTATAAAGCCAAGGTTGAAAATAATTATTCATTTATTGCACACACTGAAGAAAATTGCAAAATTTTTGTGAAATTTTATGAGACATACAATCAGTGTTGTGCCATTTATGGTTCCAATAAAATTTCATTGGAGCATTCTAATAAATTCCAATTGGAATTGGAACATTCCAAATGTGGTTCCAATGAAGTTAACCAATGAAATTCAATTATAGTGTCATACACAAATTTTATTGGTTAATATCAATTGAAGATCTACATTGGAACATTCCAATAGTGTTACAATGTTCCAATTGCACAACACTACATACAATGTCTATGCACACAAACTCTGTGCTAAACATAAACTTGCACCTAGGTTGCTGTACTATAATAATCAAGATGTAGCATACATGGGATACCATATGGTTATTATGGAGTATGTAGAAGCAAAAACATTGTTCATGGCCAAAGATGATTTGAACATTGAATACAAAAAAAAAGTTTTCAAAGATATTGCAGAGGCAAAAAGGTTACTGCACAAAAATCAATTGGTATTTGGTGATCTAAGATCAACAAACATTCTTGTGACTGACATGGAGTCTTCATCTCCTCAGGGGATGTTGATAGATTTTGACTGGGGTGGAAAAGAAGGTGAAGCATGGTATCCAACTCTCCAGAATACAAGAGATATTATATGGCCCATAGGTGTGGGGCCTGATTAATATTTAATGATGGAGCATGATAATGTTCTCTATTCATGGTTAGAGGTTGAATATGGATTATGTGAATTGAAGGATGTGTTGCAACCTGAACAATATGGCAAAAAATGTGGTTTTCCTGTTGTTGATTATGCTGGTAAATAGCATACATTATGTTGCTATACATGCACCAATTACTAATAATTATAGAATAGAAGAATTTAAGGTTAAAGCTATAGATTACAACAATAATTAAGATATGTAAAAAAAAAGGGTAGAAAAAATATTTTATTGTTTTATAATTTCTAAAAAACATAATGAATTAAGAATAAATAATAAAAAAATTGTACAAAATATTATAATAAAACACAAGCAAGAATAATAATGAGAAGTATAATAATAAAATTGAAGAATTCATTCACAAACTCCAATATTGCCTTTGATCTTAGAAGGCTGTCTTTGTGTCAAAATCCTTGATTTTTGGTCAAATGTAAGTATTAAAATTTTTTCCCAGGTTGAATAAAATAAAAATTTCCTAGGTCTGAATCATTTGTTTCATTTAGCAATAAAACTATAAAAAATTTTATTTAATTTTATTATGTAAAAAAAAAGTTATCATGGTTTAAAGTTATTCAATTTATTATTACATAAAAATTTAGATTGTAACAGATAAATTAATAGAAATTTCTTTTTATAATTCATGTTTTCAAAAAAATATATTGTTAGTTGAACATTGTTGTCAACATTTACAATGTGTTGAAATATATGATAAAGATACTAAAAAATCCGCACATAATAATTTGTTATATTGATGTAACATATGATCAACAGCCATGGAACACCACAATCAAACATGCCTGAATATGGCCATTTTTCAATTGAAATCTTAGCCCTTTTAACATTACTATTGATCTCATCAATTGTCCGTTTTATTGCAATTAGTTCTTTGGTTTAAATAATGAGATAACAAGTAAGGTGTAAATTAATTGTTAAAAATAATATAACAAATAACCTTTTAGATTTTAAATAATTGAAAATAATTCATAAATCAAATTCATTCTTTTGTGATATAAAATAAAATGATAAACTAACCATTTGATGTTCCTTGAAAACAGAGCAAATATAAATGTAAGGATAAAAAATGAAGTAAATAATAAATAACCAAAAAAAAAGCACAAGTTAGTTAAAGTTGTAAACAGTATATATACCAAATAAATGGAAAAAATTTTTTTTTTATGTAATTTGTTTATTACCTTCTTTTTTACTCAAATCAACTAAATGTTTTGTAACTTCACCATTCGGTCCCCCATTTCTCCTTGTCCTTTTTCAAATCAACTAAATCGTTTTGTAACTTCACCATTTGGTTCCCCCATTTCTCCTTGTCCTTTTTCAATCATTCTTCTTTTTTCTCTAAAGCTTCTATTTTATCTTTTAAATCTTCCTGATCCAACTTCAAATTTTCCTTTGTTTCCACATCCCTTTCCTTTCTTATTTGACTACACAACTCCCTAAACTTGCTCCTCAAATCGTAACTCTTTCAACTCTTCCAACCCCTTTACTGACTTTCTGTACTCTTCTTTTGCGTCATTTAATACAGTTTCAATTTTTCGTAATTTGCCATTTTTTTTTAAAAAAAAATATTGTAAAATTAATATTGATCCGTAATTGTTATCGACAAGTCGGTCATGTCGGGGTAGACCCCTGTGACCGACTTATTGAACCAAGTTATCGAATTTCACGTGATTTTTAATAAATTAGCCAAAAAATCTATATTTATTTCTTGTGATCACCAGTAAGTTTGTTTAATTTATTTTTTAATTGGCTTTTTCTTGGTTCTGTTTATCAAATATTTGATTGATTTTGATTTATAATATAAGTTGTTTTATAATGAAGCAAGAAGCCAAAAAAGAGTCCCACAAAAAAATTCACTATTACTATTAATGTAAACATTTTTTTAAAAATGTTATTATAAATGAAAATATTGTATAAATATTTGTGATTACTTTAAACCAAAATAAAATTATGTTTAATGATGATTATTAGAAAGATTTGTTATTTGATTTTTTTTTTACCTGAAAACTAAAGATGTTTTCATAATGTTCTAATATAAGGCAGGATTATTTACCTTGTTTCAATGTCAATAGAGAAAAATAAAGATTTATAAACATATTCTTGAATGTAAATTCATTCAAACAGCAATGTTTTTTTATTGATAAGCAATGCAATAATGGTGGTGATCATTAATTACATTTGCATAAAAAGAAAACTTTCTTTGTAGCAGCAGAGTAAAAAATAAAAATAAAAAATTAGATCAATACTGCTAATAAGATTATTTTTCTTCTAAAGGTTTCTGTTTTTTGTTGGGTAATAGCACATATTCATTCTGCTTTCTTAGTTTTTATTATTTTTCTTTCTTGGTAAATTTCATAAGTAATTCTTTCTTTTCTTAGATAAGTTTCAAGTGTATGAGTATCATTTATTTTGAAAATGTAAGGAGCAATTTTTTCGCCTTGTTCTTTCTTCAAAATACTTCTAATGGTGCTGTAATTCTTTGCTTCCTGATATAAATTAGCTTCATATTAACTATTTTTATATAGGATTAGTTCTATATATCACTTAAGATAACAAATGGGATATTATAAAACTGTTAATTATGATCACATTACAAATGACTAAATTTTGATCCCTGAAATTTTTGGTAATACCAATGTTCACTTTGTCTGGTTTTGTTGCAAGCATGCCCCATATGATATATCAGGGTATATATATATAGGTATCCCGAGTTTTTGAATTTTCCTCTAGACTCATACTTTTTATTAGGACAACTATAAAAGAAAAATATTAGAGCTCTTTTCTCTATCCATCCCAGTTATTCTTACAGAATTTTTACTGGGATGTGATTAAATCCCATTTTGACTGGATTCCTGGATAACATTTATGAGATATACATTGGTAAGCAATCAGGATACTATATATCCCATATAGCATACCTTGCTATTGGCATACTTAATGCTCACCATTCCACTCACACTTTTTTGGCTCCTTGAATGTGGTGCAAAATGCATCCCGTGACACACATAAAGATTAATGTAATGGTAAAACACTACATGCCCAGTTTGAGCATGACCTCACATTGGGCTCTGAAATGTGTTCTGATGACAAAAATAGGCCATCTTTGTGTGGTCATCCAAACTCACCACCTACGTGTGTGGCTTAAAATGCAAAACATACCACCTTCAGGTGTGCCATGAAATGTGAAATGCACCTACCACCTTCAAGCGTAACCTGACAATTGAAATAGGTCACATATCAACATATCAATATTTATGTTATAATGTCTCAGGTGTGTGGCCTAAAATGCAAAATGCATTGCCTTCAAATATGGCCTAAAACATGAAACATGAAACATGACACACTGGGGTGAGCGGTCAACTAATTAAATCAAAACTATATATGGACCCCTATGAAAATTTACTATTGAATTTTTTTTCAC